TAAAATAAACAACAGTTGTGAAAAGCTGAAGAAATTACTTGTCAGTAAATTAGGCAATGGTGCTCAATGCAAAGCAGGAGCTGTAAAAGCAAATTAAATATTTGAGTGTATAAAAAGGGAATTGCAAGTATAGTATTGATCCTATATAAAACACTTGTTGCACTAGTAGTATAGTGCACTGTGGAAGGCATAAGAGATTTGGTAAGATAAAAAGGCAGTGAAACAAATGATGGGAGGTCCCATTTAAAAATACAGATTAAACTCTGATTGTATAATAATTATTTAAAAGTGACCTAATTATTATGTAATCATATAAATCCATGGTCTACATAAAGGAGTATGTTTTTATCCCAAGAGAAGGACATAAGGTTATCAGTTCTATGTGGAAGAAAGAAAATTTTGCCAACAGTTTAGACAAGAAGTAGCACTGGGATTCTCAAAAATGGTAGAAAAAAAGTGTAAAAAAACTGATTTCAGAACAATTATCCTACTTTTCATGCCTCCCAGAGCATCATCTCTTGCTTTAATTCAGCATTATGAAAAGGGGGAAAAATCAGGCTGCTGTGAGGGAAAAAATAGTTTTTTCCTTAGAAATGTGTGGTCATCAGGCCTGATGTTTTCTTTAAATGATTAAGGTCTCATACACACAAATGTCAAAATACATGCACCAAATACATTTGAAGTACATTTTAAATATATGCAGAATCATGTGTTGTGCCCTCCTAGTTAGGCTGGTAGGTAAATTTAGTTTTAGGCTTCACTGTAGTGAGTGGAGTGGTTGTTGATCGGTTGGTCTAATCAGGATTCCTGAGCTGAAAGTATGATTGCTTCCCCCTGCCTCTGGAAGAAGCTTCCAGGGCATGGGGAGGGAGATTCAAATGATCAGCTGAATATTTACCATGACCTGACTAATCCCTGGACGGGCCATCCAGAAGGTGGCTGGAGAGCTGATAAATGTGCAGGAAGGCTGTGGAGATTATTCTCCTCATCAGGGAGGGTCCCTGTATCCTAGGAGGCTGTTGCCCCTAGGGGATAGCAAGAGAGACAAGAGATTTCTGCTTGAGTGTCAGCTGTCTTTGGGCTGAGAGCCTAAAATAATTGCCAGAGAACTACCCTTGCTGAAGGGCACTGTCTCTGAGTCCTGGACTGAACAAGGGAGCCTTATTTCCTTCACAAAAGATTTGCCTGAGGATGTTGGGGAGCAGACAACTCCTGGGACACTGTGGGGTTTACTTAATAAAGCTAGTTCACTAAGAATCTTATGCACTTCTGCAAAGAAACCAATCAACTTCCAATTTTTATTGCTAAAGCCTAATTGAACAAGCTGAGGTTAGAAGCTGATTGGTTACCATACACAGGTGCATGAAATTCTGAGTTAACCAGCTTTAGTAAACAAACCCCTGTGAGTAAAGATTTCAATGAGACTGGTAGTTGGGCAAGTACCAGAGGGGAAGCAGTTGCCAGAAGTTGCTTTATGGACTGCTATTGCAGGGCAATTGACATCCTAGCCATACCCTGTTTCCCCTAAAAAAGCTGCTATTGGGAAGGTTAGAAAAAAGTGTGTCCCTATACTGGGATTACTAATCATTTTGGAGTATTCTGTGACCCTGAACCCTCTCTTTTTAAAGTTCTTAAGCAGGAAAAACTAAAAAGACATCCCCTAGACTAAGCCTTGATTGTCAGTGTGCATGTGACTGTGCTTGGGTGACCGGCAGCCTCTGTACTATTCGGGAGAACCTTTCTTTTTACAATGGCCCCCCTTCGGAGATGGGCACTACACATGTAATGTTTTTCTATGGCTGAATGCACACCTAGACTTTCAGAAACATCTAAGTGCATTCAGTCGAGCTGTGTTTACATAAATAAGATATATATGTGTCCTGGGACCATTTAGCCTGGTTTTATGCAACTAAATGCATGTAAACCTGTGTAAAAGCAAGTATATTCAGTTAGAAGGGAAATGGATCTGGAAAGTATAATGGTTGTTTCAGGGGCGGACTGACAACTCATGGGCCCTCGGGAAATGGGAATCATGGGGCCCCTGTGTCCTTGCCCAAACTCAAAAAAGCCTATGAAAAAGGTACCAGGTGCATCTCATGGGGCCCCCTACTGACCTCAGGCAGTGCCCGAGTTTCCAAATGGTCAGTCCATTCCTGGTTTGTTTATACTTCCATATCAATTTCTTCTGCATTAACAGGCCCATGGGAATGAGGGCTAAATTATCCAGATGTCTTTGGAGCCCATGATAAACAGTCCCGGGGACATTTACCCTGGTTTTATGCAGCTAAATGCAAGTAAATGCATGCAAATTCAAGAAGTCCAGGCTTAACCTTGCTAGTCTTAAAAATGTGCCCTCCCCCTCCTAACACCTATGCTGACTAACCTGTGCAAGAAAGATGTATATATACTTACCAATTTTCAGCCCGCTCCATTCTGGTCACGTAATTATGCTCCCCTGTGGCAGCCAGTGGCAGCTGCAGTGGGGAGGAGGGATCCCCAATAATAGGTGGGCCATGGGAGCCTGTGGGTACATTACCATTTCCCAGCTATTGTCAAGCGCTTTCTCCTTACCCCTGCAGCTGCCACTGGCTGACACAGGGGATCCCGTGGCTGGACCAGAGTTAGCTGAAAATAGGTACGGTAAGTATTTACATTGTTCTTACATGGGTTAGTCAGCATAGGTGTTAGGAGAGGAGAGGGAACACTTTTACAACTAGTTAGGTTAAGCTTGGAATTCTACTTTAAAATGCAGGATAAATGGATCTGGAAAGTGTAATGCTTATTTATATGTTCTAGATCAATTTCTCTTGTGTTTAAATAATACAAACACAGGCGGCCCATGTGAATGAGAGCTTATACTTTTAACAAACAGTAGCCATGCTAAAACAAACTTCTACTGTAACTTCATCTAAACAGCTCACCCTCCAGATCCACTGTTCTTCAATTCATCTGTTGCCAACTTCACATTTCAGCTATGGAGCAACTCTGCATAATTGATGCCATAAAATATAAAACAAAAGAAACTTTCTATGCAGCCATTTGAATTTTCACCTTGATTATTTAAGGCTCATTTACACTGGTGTTAGCCCATCTCAGTGGATTACTCTTCATAGGGCCTTTGACAGGAGGTGAGGAGGAGTTATGTTGCCTCCTAATTGCTTGCTTTAGGCCCTAAAAGCCCACACCACAGAGCCGCAATGGGGGTTGTATTCTTGCTGCGGCCACAAAGGAACATATTCCTGTTGTTGCATGTGTACACCCCCATCCACTACCTTTGCAGCTTAAGGGGAAGCGGTTGGAGGGATGGTAAAAAAATGCGACTCAACTGCAAGTTTTTACTGCCTTCCAACCACAAATGCAAACAAGCCCTGAAGACTTTCAATTCCACCTGTGGAAGCATCTAATCCCTTCTTGATCTTCTAGTTGGTCAAAGATAAAGTTGCCATTTTCAGCAGTGTTCTGCAGTGGTTATGTTTTCATGCTATCATTCAAAGTCACTGCAATATTTTTTTAAACTGGCACTCTCCACATTATTTAATTATTGTGTATGTGCAAGACCAGACTGTGAGGGATAATGAGGACTCACAACCCCCAACTGAATAGAAAGGATGGGGAAGTCATATTGCACACAGCCCCCCCCATGTTCTTCAATAGTTTCTAGCTGATAACAAAAACGGTCAGATTTAAATTATATGTCTGCGCTAGGGATTTATGGAAGGTAATACACTTGCCAAAAAAAAATCCAGATTGACATAAAGCAGATTAGCTAGATAGGAATGAAGAAATATTTTATCCAGGATCTGCAAAGCCTCTTAATACAACCGGTTGTGAAAAATAAGGGGGTGCGGGTTCCACTTTATTAAGGGGAAACTCAATGTGCCCCTCTTCATAAATGGGGACAGGTTGTGTTTCCTTTCATTTCAAATATTTCAGATTAGTCTGCAGTCTGCAGAGGTCTGTTTCACACAAACATCTAGGAAAGTATGAAATATATTTTAAAATGTATTTACTGTTTTTATTATTTTTTTTAATATTCTTTTACACGGTTTTCTCATCAAACAATTTTTAAAATTGTTAATCTGACTTTCTCAATGCTCTAACCACACAGTAAAGAACTTTTCCTTTGTTATGAGCTACTGTGTTGTAAACTCTGTTACATCCCTGTCTGCGTATGGCAGTGAATGATACAAACATTCCTTTTTAAAGGACACAATTGCAACAGCAGATGTTGTGAAACAGTGTGTTCACATTAAAACATAGGGTGGTGACTACTGTTCGTCAGTGTACAGACTGTTAACTGCAGAGTTAACCAACCCAGTGACAACCACTTTCAGTCTGCTGATGCTTAGGTTGTTGTCCTACAAGTAGGAAAATCTCTTGGCAGAGTGGGATCACAAGGACCTTAACCGCTAGCCTACAGGGTACTTATACCCCCTTCCTGCCCAGGCCAATTTACAGCTTTCAGCGATGTCACACTTTTAATGACAATTGCGCGGTCAAACAACACTGTACCCATATGACATTTTTATCATTTTTTTGTGATAGACAGAGCTTTATTCTGGTGGTATTTAATCACCTCTGGGTTTTTGTTAGTTTTTGTTATAAAATTTTGTAAATAAGTGATTTTTCTCCTTCACTTATGTGCGCTAATGAGGCTGCACTGATGGGCACTGATAGGCTGCACTGATGGATACTGATAGGTGGCACTGATGGGCACTGATAAGGAGGCACTGGTAGGTGGCACTGATGGGCATTGACAGGAATCACTGATGGGCACTGAAAGGCAGCACTGATACATGGCACTGATATATGGCACTGATAGGCAGCACTGATAGGTGGCACCGACTGGCACTAATAGGCGGCACTGACTGGCACTGATAGGCGGCACTGACTGGCACTGTTAGGCGGCACTGACTGGCACTGTTAGGCGACACTAACAGGCACTGATAGGTGGTATTGATGCGCACTGATAGGCAGCAGTGACTGGCACTGATAGGCGGCACTGACTGGCACTGATAGGTGGCACTGATTGGCATTGATAGGTGGCACTGACTGGCACTGATGGGTGACACTGAAAGGCAGTTCAGATGGGCACTGATATGTGGCATTGATGTGCACTGGTAGGCACTGATATGTGGCACTGATGGGCACTGACATAGGGCACTGATGGACACTGACAGGTGGCACTGCTGGGGCTACACTGATCATCAGGGCACACTGATCATCAGTGCCCTGATGATCAGTGTACATGCCCCCTCCGCGGAAAGCCGATTACCGGCTCTCCTCTCCTCTCGAGCTGTCAGCGTGACAGCTCGAGAGGAGAGAAATGCCGATAACTGGCATTTCCCTGTTCACATGTGATCAGCTGTGATTGGACACAGCTGATCACATGACCGAGCTGACATCTTTGGCTCTTTCCATGATCGGTGATCCGCTGTGTCCGAGGGACACAGCGCACCACCAATCGCCGTGCTGCGCGCTCCCTGAGCCGCGCATGCGCAGTGAGAATGGGAGGACATCATATGACGTCCTTCCAGAACGAGAGAACCACCTTGCGCCCATCATATTACTATATGGCGGGCGGGAGGTGGTTAAAGAATAACAGCATCTTCTTTAAAGTGTTTGTGAACTCTTACATATACCCAGTGTAGTGACTGGCATCAGGTGATACACAGAGGTGAGTCAAATCCTACATAAGCTGTACCTGTCTATCTGCAGTCCTCTCTTCTCTACATCCATTCAAAGTGCTGAATTTATAAAGCTTGTCTGAGAGTTTAGAAAAAAAGGAGGTGGGGAGCTGAAGTTACACTGTGCAGAGATCAATAAGAAGAGCTCTGAGAGCTGATTGGAAGGATGAGACATACTCCCCTCCACACAGCTCACAGGAACAGACCTGAGGATGTCAATCTGCTGGAAGTCCCTTCCCTGTCACTATTTTTCACTTGGTGTCAGGAAAACTTGTCAGAAGTGACTCAGCAGAGTAACAAGGCAGGAGACAGAAATGACAGTGCTCCTAATTGAGACAGGTACACACTATAGAGGAATATGCTTTGTTCATATTTCATGTCTGAGGTTTACAACCACTTTAAGTGTGATTCAAATTAAAAATAGAGACAGCTATGTATAAAAGAGATTCAGAAAACTTAAAGTAAACCAGAGCTTTTCCCATGATGCTCGGTACAATCACTGAGATAGAATAAAAATATCCAGTACTTCTGGTTATGGGGCGACATTCAACTCACTCCCCTTTTTCCCACGTGACAATGCTGGTGCTTAGCAATTGACCATTAAAGGAGAAGTACAGCCAAAACTAGTTTAGCTGTAGTTCTCCTGTGGATCACAGGAGTACAGTTCATTCTGCACTCCTGTGACCCGTTAACAGCTGACAGCGGGCTAAAGTCCCCTGTCGACTGGCGTTGCTCAGCCGGTCCATGCTGGGGAAAGATCCTAAATTTTAAGTCAGGATCCACCCAGATCCCTGGATGGGCACCTGGCTCAGCCTCTCAGCGATTCCCTCCTGCCTCTTCAGCAGCCCAGCGCTCCAGTGAGTGCTGGAGCAGCAGAGCAGACAGCGGTGACTGACAGTCACCAGCTCTCTGCTCATGGAGCACTGAGAACTGAGTGATCATCAGTGTCTGATCACTCACTTCTCAGTCTTAGAGCTGGCGACAGATAGATAAAGCATCGGACCGATGCTGCATCTACCTAGGTAAGTATGATTTCTATAAAAAAATTCCTCAACTTCTCTTTTAAGGCACCTAGCACTGTAACATGTATGTAGGAAGAGAGCCTTCAGCCCTGCACAAGTGCTGCATCTTGGGGTTCACACAGGTATTCCACTCCTGGTGCTCTGCATGGGCAATGAACTGGTTTCTTCTAAAAAGAGAAAAACAATGCACAAGCCATGCTTAAGTTAGACAAAGTAAGTTTGAGTTCTGTATGTTGGAGGCATTTTCTATTTACATTTTTGCTAAGTAATTAAGGCTCATTCTGTTCATCCTACTTCCTGAGAGTTTGGACGGCTGCTGGGAACCACATAAACACCTATGATATGACTTCTCACATGAATAAATTAGTACCCTGGTCATGAAAAAGATCATATGGAAAATACCTGACTTTTAGCCAGAAAAGACTCCAAGACTTTAGATAACAATACCAATACTATAGCATATAATTCATCCTATATCCCATTTTATTTTATGAGAACATATAGATTACAGTACAGTGTTTTGGTAGTTTTGAGTTGTTTAAAAACAATGTGGTATAAAATAGAATTCCAACTTAACCAACAAAAAACACTAGTCTAACCCAACCCATTAGTCATGAAAACAGCAATGAGCCAAAGCGTGACATCCTTTCACTTAGCTGGAAATGCTAAAGCTATACAGAACCATACTTTAACACAGGACACTTTCACAGCTCTCATTTTATTTTAGAAAATAGTTTAAGGAAACCACAATGTTATCTTCTAGCTAGCTCTGACATTAAAACCATATAGTAAGTCAGCAACACTTCAAGTACAGCAGTGAGTACTCTGCCTCTAATGCACTGTAGTGATGATGCTGAACAGATCACTTAAGATAAATAACTGTGGAGCGTATCATACTTACATCCCCTGCAAACGCTGAACCATTTTATCATTCGATTCCTTCTTTTTTAATTTGCAAGAAGTATATTTCTGCTCTGAGTCTTCTGAGGTCGTAGAATCCATTGTAAGTGTTTTATGGCGTAACAGTCACATTGACTATAAGTCCCACCAAGTAAAAGCATTCCTTAGTCCATTGCAATCCACTAACCCAATGCATGTAAAAATGTAATAGTAGATCAAAAAAGAACCTAGATCATAAAATGTGTAAAGAGTGAAGGAGAAAGCTCTTTTTTTGTAAGACTTCAACTTAATGGAAAAATCCCAGTTCTGTTTCCTTTGGATTTCAGCAGTTTAAAGTATCCTCTTGCTCTGATAAGTAGAATCAGTACATGTAAGATGGTTAAGTATACCACTGCCTGCCTGTACGTTCAAGCTCTTCCCACATGCCGCTGAGTTTTACAGTTGTGTGCACCGAAGCACAAAAGCACTTTGCAATATCCAAGGATTCATTGTCATTTAGAATAAAGGAGAATTACTTAAGCTCTCCGCAAGAGACAGATTTGCAGTAGCAAATAAAAAAAGCACCAAGACAGAAATACAGAAAGAAGAAAAAAAACAAGAAAAATACCATGCATGAACTAAAATTACAAAATCTCCAAGGCAGGATAAAAAAGCTCATATTCTCCCACAGATCTGCAGAAATCAGTTAAAGGTTTAATCTGAGCATTAGCACAGCTCTCAAACAGATAGATCATTGGTCTTTGTGGGTAGGATGTAGTTCAAGGAGCTTGTATCATCTGGTCCAGAAAATCATTTCATGATTATTTATCCCCTTTTAGCAACTCCACACAGTAGGTAAATGTCACTTACACCACTGATGACTGTAGCAGCTGCAACACACACTCTACATCACTTATTCCTGAAACCCTTTAGGTCACGCAGTGAGAGAGAGAATAGCAAACATTTCAGGCTAAACAAGATGGCATGAGTCAGAACTGCTTTGGAATTACACCCTAATGCTGCCAAGATTTTGCTTTTATTTTGCACCTGATTTCTATAGGAAAGAAAAACAGCTTTAAAAAGAAGGTATTCAAGCGTTCCTAGGAAACCCCAAATCTTTACATGAAAAAGGCTCTTACAGTGTAAGCTTCTAGAAGCACTTAATCAAAGGACTAACAAATAGGCAGTTCACTCAGCAAGGGAAGCTGCATATTGCAAGAGAATTTCCCCCAAAGCTTAGTGAATGTGGTGAAGTGTAATTTTGCAAAGAATACCCAATCATGTTAAAAAAAAAGACATTTTTTGCTTGCATGTGATTGGATGACAGTGGTCAGCAGAGCTTCACCTCATTTGCTAAACTTTGGGGAAAATACCCTTGCAAAGAGCAACTTCCCTTGCAAAATGAACCATCTATTTGTTCTTAGTAAATAACCCCCCCTCCTAAGCGTCAGCTCACAATAGACTGCAAGAAGGGTTCCCTTTATATCTGCTTGGAAGCTCCACAGGGTCTTGGGTTCAGTTACAACCAGAATCCTATCTACAGTACATGGTTTTGTAATTCACACACCCCAGGGTCAGTTTACTTCTCCATTTCACATTTCTACTGATATACAATAATTAATTATGTTTAACTAAACTGATTCCTAGAGGTGTGTCAATGTCTCTTGACTCTTGTAGAGATTGGAGTTTGCGAGCCTGACGGGAGTGTAGAAAAATGTGCTCTGTAAAGCGCTGTGGAGTATGTCATTGGTATAAGCACATGGGAAAATAAAGAATACATTTGTTGTCTCTGTATAGTAATGCTTTTATGTTTACCTATTTATTGGGAGTATACTCTGGTGCTTTCTAGATAACTAGCAAAAAAAGTAGTAGAAATTAAGGCTGAACACCAGGCAGCTCTATAGGACACCATTTAATGCTGCTTTACATTCATTAATTTGTAATTACACATTGTTGATAGAAGGAGAAAAGAGAATGACAGTTAGATGAGCTCATCAGTCTGCTGCTTCTCCTTTCACAGTCCAGCCACAGACTGGGGAGGGTAAGATATGTATGTGCTACCTAACTGCAGCAGAGAAAAATCTGTTTTTTTGCCCTGCTGGACAGGGATGCATTGAGTGACAGAGCTGTAATAATCATAGGACTGAATGGACTGAAATATTACTCCTTTAACAGGTAAAACAACTTCCTCCCATATACATGTTTCATATATGTATTTAGCTGTTCATCTGGAGTTTCGTTTCAGTTTGAGGACAGTGAATTCCATTTTATAGAGTGGTGTGAAATTAATCATTGTCCTTTTAAAATGCTTTCCATTCAGTGTTCAGCCATTAGCCAAATTTGTCCATGGGCTGGCTTTATACAGAGCAGCACCTGTTTGTTACAGTCAGCCATTAGCCCAATATATCCATTTGCTGGGTTTACACTAAGCAGAACCTATTGGAATTACAGTCAGAGCCATTAGTCCAATAACTTCAAATGCTGGATATTACAAAGCACATTACTCCTTATTGCTTTGTCTTTTGCACTTAGCTACAAGAATATGTATTCAGGTAATACTTTGCAGGAAGTCTGCTTGTGTATGCGACCACTTCTCTAATACTCAGCTTTTAAGTAGTCAAGTTCCATGAAAAGGGAAGTCGATAAGAAGATGCAAGCCTAAAATAAATTCTGTCAAGATTTCAATTGCAAATTTTTTTACTGGTTTTTACCAAAAAGAGTAAATACAGAGTGTACAGGTGTACAAAAAAAAATAAAGATTCAAAGAAGT